CAATACTACTTTATGGAACAAAGCTTGGTGCTTCATGAAGAGAACTTCGAACAAACTAAAGACCCTAACCAACAGCTGTCTGCGCTCAGTACTACTCAGGGTCAGATGGCCGGCCAGAAAACATCGGCATCACTGATCTCTGGAAATGGGCGAACCAATCCAGCAGGAACTGATTGTGCGAAAAATGTGCAGGAAGAAATGGAGGTTGATTGGCTGACCATACTCTGAGAAAACAAGCCATCAAGTGAGTGACATCACATGCCAAGCCATTGCTCTAGTGGAACCCGGACAAGGAGTGGCGAGTTGTTCGTCAATGCGAGTGTGGAGAGACATGGAGGAGGTGATGTGGATAGAAGATGAAAGCATGTGGACAGATGTGCGAGGAGTAAGGTGAAAACGTTGACGGTGAACCGAACGCAATGAAGACGTGAGGCTGAAGCCATATGTTACTCTAGGAACTAAAGGAAGCAGTAATAATAATAATAATTCCTTAATTAAACTCATAAATGCTACAGACGAGATTTGTGCTAATTTGAGATATTGCAGACAGTTTTCTGTCATGTTTTTATTTGCTTCCTGGTCATTCAAGATTTCAGTTGATGCAGTAAGGGAAAAAATCACTAGTCTATTCAAACTATTACACTGAATGGACTGCAGACAACATTGTATTTGGACACATTTTAAGTTTAACAAAGTAAATAAGAAAAGATAAGGGTAAATACAAGACACATACAATGTTCTGTTTATTTTTTCATACCAAAATCAATCTTAACATCATTTATACACATATGTATCCTGTAAACGTGTATGTGTATGACTATTTACATGGACTATGAAATTTATTCTGAACAAACAAGTAAACTTTTACTTATCCTTCAGCTGTTTTAGTGTGACTAATAGGATTCATGTTTCTAGCCTAACTATTAATCTAGTATAGACTTTGAACTTCACTTATTTATACAACAACAGGTTGTATATGGAAAAATTAAAACAAAATATGAGTAATGAGGAGAAAATCGTTTAGTTCCTATATCAGCTATGAGTGTTGATGTGCTTTGGTGGCTCAGTGTTAGGATGCTGGCCGACCATGCGTGTGTCGTCCGATCGGGGGACAACTTTAACCACCCCCACAGACACTTGTAAGCTAGACAAAAGAGGAAGGTTGGGTGTTGAGGGTGGCTAGCAACCCTACTCTATAAAACACACCACTGCTACCGGAAATTTTGAAGCTCATAGTTGAAGCTTTATGTTCCACTTGGAAAGGAAAGGAATAAAGCAAATGAGAATTTATTTTTGAACGTGGATTTTGTCACTAAGCAATATCAGTTAAGGAGATCATTGAGTTCACATTGGAATTAGTTCAAATCCCTACAAAACCCCAAAATCTAAATATAAATCTTCTGTTGACTAATGGCTACTAGATGGACGCCCTGAAGTTGTACTGAGAAGTTCTGACCACTAAAGTCCACTACTGTTAAAGTGGACTGGCTATTAATCCAAGGCATTGGTTATGGGCCCTATATCACGAATTGATACAGTTAGCAGTCAATTCTTTCCAGAGTAGCTGAACTTCCCGGGTTCGATCCCTGATCCCTGGGATCATGAGTGTGTAATTCTGAAAAGTAGGACAAAACAGCTTTACAATGCTCCCCAATTTTTTAATGAAGTCTAACTGATTTTGATTCGTGATGAACCCTAACGCTGAAATTAATACAAATCTCTGCAGGAACCGAAAGTCTAAAGATGACTGTTGAAGCATGTAGTAACACCAATGCATTTTTGAGGTTAGTTTACAAAATGGATTAACCCATTCGATCAGCAATATTTGTTGATTGTAAATGTGTGATAGACATTTCTTTATAAATTTGATATTTACTTACGAATGGATTGAGACAAAAAATGGAAATGAATATATTTATATATCAGGGCGCATTATTATCTAACATCAAGGTTATGTTTTTTTGAAGTTCCTTTCACATCATTTTATCGTCAACATTCTGTCCGGTATGTAGCCATTTGAGAGTTAACTTTCTTTCACCATTTACAACAAAGACTTCACAAAAGGAGGTAGAGAGACTCAAACCTATTTATAAAACTACAAATTTTGGCATCAATTCCAGTTAGTTCTTTCAGTAATCATTAAAATGAGCAAATCAATTTTGCGTAATCAACACAAATTTGATTAAATTATCTTTGATCAAATCGCCACTCTACGGATCATCATTGAACAAAGCTTGGAATGGCAGTCGCCTCTCTATCTCAACTTCATCGACTTTGAAAAGGCCTTCGACAGCGTCGATCGAGAGGTCATTTGGAAACTACTTCGCTACTACGGGGTTCCATCGACAATTATACACCTCATCCAACAGTTATACGACAATGCTGCATGCCAAGTAATCCACAACGGGAAACTTACGGAAGCCTTCAAAGTGAGGACGGGAGTGAGGCAAGGCTGTCTACTATCACCAATGATCTTCCTGATTGCAATTGATTGGATAATGCGACAGACAACGGCAACCAACGAGGGAACAGGCATAAAATGGACTGACACAAAAGACTTGGAGGATCTGGATTTCGCCGATGATATATGTCTGATTTCCCATAAACTGGAAGATATGCAAGTGAAAAGTAACAAGTTGGCAGAAGAAGCATCAAAGATAGGACTTCACGTGAACATAGATAAAACAGAGATAATGAAGATTCCTAGCCAACATCAACAACACCAACAGACCACAATAAGCATAAATGGGAAGAACCTGAAAGAAACAACCTCCTTCACCTACCTGGGAAGCATCGTCTCAACTACAGGCGGAACTGACGAGGACATCAAAGCCAGAATTGGAAAAGCAAGATAAGCTTTCATTACTCTCAAATCTGTGTGGAGGTCAACAGCAATCAGAATCAAAAATAAGATCCGGATTTTCAACTCCAATGTGAAGTCAGTGCTACTATACGGATCAGAGACTTGGCGAGTCATAAAGAGCATCTCAAACAAACTTCAAACCTTCATTAACAACTGTCTCCGCTCAATACTCAAGATCAGATGGCCAGAAAAGATCGGCAACAGGGATCTCTGGGAGCGAACCAACCTAGCAGGAAGCGATTGTGAAACAAATAGGCAGAAAGAAATGGAGATGGATTGGCCATACGCTGAGGAAACCATCAAGTGACATCACTAGACAAGCCATCGCTCGAGTGGAACCCGAAAGGGAGGCGGCGAGTTGGTCGTCCAAGGGTGACTTGGAGGAGGTCATGCGAGGAGGAGATGAAAGCATGTGGACAGACCTGGAGCAGGGTGAAAAAGTTGTCAGAAAACCGAAGTCAATGGAGGTGCGCAGCTGAAGCCCTATGTTCCTCTAGGAACTAAAGGATACAATAATAATAATAATAATCTTCTTTATTTAAAAACCAATCACCTTAATTCATATCGCAGTATTTCAGTCGTCATTATTATTGTATTAAGTTCTCTTTGGTTACGAATTATTTTATAGTTATGCAATGGCTGATTCCATTCAAACAACGGTAAATAAAATTTTACGTTCAGACCTTCGTTTGTCGGGATTGGGTAAAGGTTTTCATCATGAGATGACACAGGTTAGCGAACTATTGGAAAACCTACAGACAGTACTGGACAACTATTCCGTCAGCCTAGTTCGGAATTCTTCGGCAGTACGCATCCACATAGGTTCGAACTACAGTCCCCTGGTCACAAGGCCAGAGAGCTCGTAGACCATTGAGACACTGGGACCCAATCCAACGATCAACACATGAATTCTAACTTCTGCCAATTATTGATATAGCGCGACCATTTCTCAATGTCTTCTTCGATGACTTACTGCCTCACCTTCAACCTGCTGTACCATACTAGTCACAGCTTCTCACTGGAACTCCAGGTCAGATTAACTTCCTGAATAAGACCAGTGGGTAGTAGGCATCAGATCAGTTTTCAAGTATTGGTTCTGAAGGTATGATTTACGAGCTCTTCTTATCACCAGTAGGTCCTAGATTAAAACTCTCGTGGTTGCATACAGCTATAGAGTCTCAAAAATAGAATGAAACTGCTGTGCACTACTCCCCGTAAGTGTTCCAAAGGTTCTCTAACCAATGTCAGCTCATGACAGAATCCTGTAACCAATCAAATCCCTACAAACCAACACTTGAATATCGATGAGATGCTCACTAGCGACTGAACCTATTCAGGTAGGCAGCCACGTGGGGTTCAAGTGACCAGCAGGGTGCAGCAGGTCGGGTGTGAGGACAAATACTGGCCGGAGATATTGGCTAGTGGTCGTGCTACGTCGTGAATTTGCAGAAGTTAGAAGTCATGGGCCATCTGATCGGGTCTTAGTGGCTTAATGGTCTTCGAGCCCTCCTTGTAACTAGAAGGTCCTGGGTTCGACCCCTGGCTGCTAGTGCGTCCTGTTGAAGAGTCCCGAACTAAGACGAAACAGCTGGCTGTCCAGTACTCTCAGATCTTCCAGTCGTTTTCTAATCAGTCTCAGCTCATGATGAAATCCTGTAACTGTTCCTTTTTGTTTAATTTGCCTTAATTATTTCTTCAGTAGTTGGATGACCCAAACGTTAATTGTTTGATTTTATACAAACGTTTTTACAAAAAACAAAAGCAAAACAATGTTTGACGACTATTATATTTCTTTTGTTTTGAATATGATTATATGTTTTTTATCTAATAATTTAACTTTACCATTAAGAATTATTGGTAAAGTAAGTAAATGAAAGTGGTGAATATTGACAACTGTCAATTGTGAATAATTCATACATTACCGAGCACTGATATTCCTTATTCCCTTATCTATATTTCCCATATACAAGTCATATATATGCATATATATATATATATATATATATATATATATATATATGTATATATTATTTATTTGAATCGTTTTATGTCCTTGAAATAATAACTGAAACGTGATACAGACATGCATAATTCATGCATAAATACTAAAGAGAGATTGGTCTATAAACATTTTTTTGCTTCTATGTGTAATCTAACTCAGTTTTGCTGTTGAACAACAAAACTATAAGTTGAAGCCTTCTAACCAGAAAATATCAACTATAACACCAATAACATCATCAAATGACAAAAGTATAACCAATCTATATATGTATATATATATATAGGTGTGTGTTTGTCCTATTTTGCTCATTCATTCATTACTTACTATATTGTGGAATAATAATTGCAAATATATATTATCATTCGTATTACAAACGATAGTTATTGAATCACCGATATATAATAATAATATTCAATATTCAATGCCTTTATTCCCGGCAAAAATGAATGAATGAATAGCCGGGTATTTTATATAAACCATTAACACAAATATGCTTCTATGTATTTCTGGATAGTATTGACATGAAGAGTTCTAAATTTCTATAGATGTAAATGTTCACATCTTGATGGAGAAAGCATTTCATACACCTTTCTAGATTTAAGTATATATTATACACTTTACATGTTCATTCATTTGTAAATAAATGTGCTATTTAGTTTATTACATGGTAATAAAAAAAAAGAGAAACAAAAAATTACCAATTGTATATGTAAAAATCTACTAAACAGAGAAAAATTTTCAAATAATAATTTATCTTCTTTGCATCAAAATCAACAAAACCAGATACAAGATCTCTTCAGTGAAACTGCTTTATTTTTCTTTTTGTCTAACATTTAAATGTACTTGCGAACAAACACACAGTGACCGCATGGAACTATTTACATAAGCAACAGATGAAAGAAGGCTTTTTCAATTATGAAAAAATTAGTAAGTATTGAATTGTTAAACTGTTTTGCGATTGAGTAGTATGCCAAACATTTAATCAGTTCGTAGTATAATAGTGATTTCACCGCATGACTAGTGTCTGCGACAGTCGTGTCTTTCTCAGCTTCACCTCGGAAACTTTACTCAGGGTAATATAATACCTAATACAAAAAATTAGCCAGTCATACAGGGAAAGATTACCAGTTATACCGGAGGCTATTGATACCTTCACCCAGGTGTTTACTTACTCTGAAGTGAGGAGGGTAAGAAACTTATTTGTGTGTGTGTGTGTACAACGATTTACAATCTTACAGTCTTCAGATTTTATCATCTGTGTGATTGTGAAAATAAGTCCCCGTACTTTCGGCATTTGTAATTGAATGACAAGTTTATTTCGACCCCCTAGTTTATATCAATATCACCGTTTTACTTTTAAACTCTGGTCAGACTCATATATCACTCTGATATGATTCCGTTATCTCTTGAATTGTTTCTTCATACTCATGAGTTGTGTGATGGCTTCTATTCTGGTGAGCACGGCGTTGGAGTATCTACTTAATTATGCATATCAGTAGTAAAAATAAATTAAGAAACTGAACTGCCTAAATTTATTCTATTAGATGTTAGATATTGAGTTCTGTTTAGTAGCCTGTTAAGTTTCATTGGGGCCAAATGAAATATTCCTTAAAATATAGACTAAAATTTCTTTAATTCCACGAATTGATTTTTATCCCACGACGCATTAACCCAAAAAAGACCTTTCACAATGAATTTGTTAAATATTTAATGCTTAAGTCTGACGTGATTAAAAACACTATTGGTTGAAATTAAATATCAATAGCGTAACATCATAAAAGTTGAAAAACATTGGCCACTAAATTTGAAAACATTAGTAAATTGCTAAAGTGCGAGCTGAGCCATTAAGTACTAGGTGCTAAATAACTTCAGCATACGACAAAATAGAAGTTTTTTTTTTCAATTTGTCTCAGGCTAATCACGAAATCCTCCTTGATTTCTGTATGAAGTAATAATAGTTTACGACTTCATTATCACTAACATTTATTCAACTTTCGTGATTTGCCTTTACATTTTTGCGAATAATAATGTTCCAGCATACAGTTCTGCAACTATCAGTGGTTATTGAAGAAGCTGATTTTTTGAGATAATTCTTGAAATAAATAATCTCTGTAACCAGAATAAGGTGAATGATGATTTAAGCAGATAAATGAGCAAGTGTTCAGAACAGATATAATTTATTTTTTATTATTATTATTATTGTATGAAAAAGTTTACGTGATATTTCAGCGTAGCTGAGTATAAGTTTTCAGGCAAAATTTTTACATTAATATCAGTAAAAAGTATGAGCATTGTGGATTAGATCAAATAAAGTATAATTATATTTCAATAGTTTACACACAATGATAAGTTTTGTTATTGATAATATTTCGAGCAAAAATAACTGCCCGGGTTCCCTCTCATTAAAAGACTGGCCAACAAGCTCACACATTTATATCAAGCTGAATCTTGATTTATAAACCATCGAATTAACAACATCAGATGCCTAAAAAATGGAATTATTTCTGTATATATGAGATTAAAATCACCGATATCTACTGATAAAGCAAATGCAGCACTCACACATGCCTCAAAAATATGCATCAAAGAAAAACCTGCATGGAATTATACGAAAGCTATTCACACTAGGGAAAGATAATAACGAAGCAAAAGAAAAATTGAAAGGAGCAAAGGAAAAGGAAATTTTAAAAGCATACTAGAAGTTACACAAAAACGAAAAAGGAACAAAACAATTCCAACAGTGGTGTAAACACGGGCAGTAATTTTCGCTCTAAATATTACCAATAACAAAACTTATCATTGTGTGTAAACTATTGAAATATAATTATACATTAGATTTTTACATATTCATGAAGGGAATGACAGCTTTTTAGTGAATTGTGTGTTTCACTATTTCAAAAGCTTGGTGAATTTCGCCTAATCTTACGGTTTTCTATCATTCAAGTTCGACATAGCGTATAAATACATATATAAATTTATTACATAACATAGAGTAATTGCGTGTATTCGCTTCCCGATACGAAACCTTGAGTAGTGAGTGTGTATGAATGCATTATTTTCAGGAAAAGTTATGTTAGCCCAGAAAATTAGTTTTCTTTTGTGTGTGTGTGTGTTATGAGTGACTGGATGAATGAGATTTTTTTGAAAAAATTACTTATTCGTAGTTAGAACAATCTTTTTTTCTTTGGCGAATTGAGTTGTCTGCAGTCATCTGGGAATTCTGTCCATTTCCTTATGGAATATACGTGATTAATATTATGGAAAATTTGTGACTTGAATAAGTAATAGCTTTTGTTTTAACTAGATAAGGATGTATTTTAATGCCTATAATCAGAAGTGATAATATTTTGCACAGTGTGAAAGTCTATCTGTCTGAGTAGACGGATGGATATGCCCGTTCTCTGCATATATTTTTTTTACTTCCTAGCATTATTTCAGTGTTATGTTTACCCATTCTAATACGTACATATTTGGATTTGCCTCCCTGGTGATGTGAAATTAATGTTAAATTTTCAAAGTTCCCTAATAATAACCGCAGATAATGCAGACGTCCTGAAAGTGCAAAAAAGCTAATTGAAAGAGAGAGATAGACAAAGAGAAAGGAATATTTTTTATACCTTGAATCACATTATCTCCTGTTTATTAACACATAAAATGTTTTCTAGTAACACATTTTTAAAACTCTGTTATCCAACTAGTTGTCCAATATATTCAAGAGTTTGTTTGTAGGGATATGATTTGTTTTTGTGAAGTTTGATCATGCATTGATATCACTGAGAGAACCACACTGAAAACCACTGAACACCTATCTCATCCTAGTTTGAAACTTATCAGCAGTACGCACCCACAACCACGTTCTGAACCGAACAGCCTCTGGTTACAAGGCCAGCTTTTAGATCATTCGATCCCTAGGAAATGACTCACTATCCAGCCTATGAATTTTAACGCCTAACAACTTTTGAATTTAACTCGACTGGAACCAGCCAATATGATCAGTGAGTTTTCATTCTCATCGCCAGATAGTCTGTAGGAGTTCAGTAAATCTGAGACGAGCGAAGACTGACAGAGAAGTCAACGTGAGAAGCAAATTATTCCGTAAGTTATTACACAATTAGCCTGAAGAAGATGCAAGCTGTTAGGTAAGATTTTAATCAACGGAGAGTAGAAGCTCAGTGATTGTCTGTACTTGTTTAATGATAAATAACCGTATGCTCTAGCACAATGTTTCTAAATAGAGCATTCAGAAATCGTTCAACGTTGATGAGTTTCAAGATTGATACAAAAATAACAGGGTCATTTTAAACTTTGATACCTGTATAAGAAAGATGAGGAAAAACACAACTGTATGAATTGGGTTCAGGCGCATAATAATAATAATAATTTTTCCTTCACGTTCCCAGTGGAACATAGGGCTCCAAGCTAGTGGCTTGAAGTTTCTGTAGCAGTGTTTAATTTTTATAGGATGGGGTTGCTAGCCTCATGCCCAACTTTTCCTCTTTACCAGCATTATATCTGTCTCAGCTAGGTAAAGGGGTGCGTCAGTGGCCGGAGATCGAACCCTGGACCATGTGCATTGTCGGCGAGCATCATAGTGGCTGTGCCACGGACTCACAAGCAAATGATTAGTTCAACCAAAATAATACTAATTTCACAATAAATATTTATAATATACTTTTGTACACTTGGAAAGATTATTTTTACTTGTAATGGACAATGAAAGGATGCAATAGGTTAGAAGCATTTTATCTGTCGAATTCATATATATTTTTTCAACAACTCACTCGTGTGTTTGTCCTGTATATTCTTGTGAATAATTTCTGAAAATAGGTTACATTCATCAGATTAATTGTATCTTAGGCATCACCAAAATGAAATCTCTTTGGAAGTTCGCTTCACTTAGTGTATAAACAACAAGATTTGGATCTTCAACGTGAATGTCAAGTCAGTCACTTCTTCCATTTGGGTTAGACACTTGCCCTGAGCGTGAGGAAAAGCATTTCCAACAGCCTGCTGCAGACTTTTATCAACAGCTGCCTTCGCTGACCCCGTAATGAAGATCAAATGGCCAGAAAGAATTAGTAAGAATAAATTACGAGAATAAACTAACCAAGGACCTATTGTTCAGCGAGAGAAAATGCAGATGGACTAGGTACATGCTGAGCAGATCGTCGAATTACGTTGCGCGGCAGGCCATCGCTCGGGTGGAGTTCAAGTGGGAAGCGACGAGTGATCCCTCCTTGGGTGAGATGGAGGAGATCGTGCAATGAGAAGATGAGAGATTATGGGCGATCGTGAATCCGGTTGAAGAGGATATCAGAAGTTAGAACAAGGTGCAGATAGGTTATTGAAGCCCTATGTTCTACTAGGAACTCAAGGGAATAATAAGAATACGTGAATCTTATTTTATCATAATTTATAAATGTTTTGAAATGATTTAAATTTTACAGAGCAACACCTCCATAGTACTTTTCTAGGATTGATAGTGTGTTTACTGAGGTCAAAGAGGCAATGTATAGTAAAACGCTTTGTTCAGTTTTTGAAGTCTTTTTAATATTCCTTAAAAGTTATGACCAGTATGAATGTGTAACAGCTTAACTGATTAAATTATCTGAATATGTTTGGGTATATAAAGATAAAATCTTGTAACGTAAACATCGGGTTGAACACAATGAAATCAATCTCTCTCATGAAAGATAAACACATTGTGCTAACAACTGCTTTGAAAAAAAACTGCTGTTTTCTCTTTCAGCCATTTGAATTGACACATTTCTTCTGTTACATTTTTCACATTTAGTGTTGACACAAATCTGTTGGTTCATCTGTTGCAATTCTTTAACTCTGTTTTGTGTACTAAGTAGCTTGACAAACGGTATATCAACCAGGTTTTATTTATTTGTTTTATTTATTTAAACGCGTAAAAACATGGT